AGCCTCAACTTCAGCCTGCCTTTGGAATAATTCTGGACTATGACAATCAGTATGTACAGAGAAATAAACATGCAGGGAAAGGGGGAGGCAGAGAATTTGGGAACAAAATGATTAGCAGCAAGAATTACTTCTATAGACTATAAAAAGATTATGACAAGTGTGTTTACAGTGTTCACTCTAAATGACTGGTTTAACAGTGTTTATGACCCAGTCTCCCTCACTAGACTGCCAGCCCCTAGGCCCCTACATGAATCACCTTTTTAATCCTTTGCACCTAGCTATCTGGCAGTCTCAAAAATATATTTTAATGTTTTCTGGGTTAATACAGATGAATGGAATAATTATAACTGGACCTAAAAATAAAGTTGCATCATTTAGATCAGCATCCTAAAATATAACAGCTGTTTTATGGCCTATAAAACTTGAAAACTGTAAAAAGTTGTTAAAGTATGCTAGGAAGTGTTAGCACTATATACAAGTGAAAACGCAAAGGTAATAGTAATAAAGTCTGGGAAAATGGGAGTAAAGAAACCCAGCTACCAAACACTTCAACCCACTCTGTATTCCAATGACCATGGGTCACCTAAGATTCTTGAAAGCACCCCTTAATGTAAAATCAACTCCTTTAACCATTATCACCATCAAGCAATGTTCTTAATTATCATGCAAATTCTACTGAGGAAGTGACTACCTAAAGTTCCCTGGTCTATAACTCCCTTTTTGAAGGTCTGAAGAAAACAAGCTAAAGTGTAGTCTGAATATTGTTATCAAAAAAATGTAACTTTATTAGCTGCAAAAATGACATCCAGAAACAAGTCAGGTTTATCTACAATTCCAATCCCAGTATAATGATATCCTCACAAATCCAAATTTAGACTTTACTTAACAGAAACCTTTCAAATACCAAATGTGTAACTATTAATTTAGTAATATTTACTTAACACTTAATATTAACTTTCACTAAATGCAAATTATGTACATGTGGTGTAAGGTCTAAAATTAAGACCCAAGCTCCTGGAGGGCTCAGTCAGCAGAGTGTGCCACTCTTGATCTCAGGGTTGTGAACTCAAGCCCCACGTTATGTGTGGAACCTACTTAAAAATAAATAAATCACTCCCGTTAAAAAAATAAAGACCCAATATTATGTGCTGCCTTGACATCTGGTAAAACGGGGAGGGCTTTCAATGGCCTAACCATAAGTTCCCCTCCCCACTCTGCTCCTGCAGATAAGGTCGCAAAGCCAAATAACCTTCCTTGGAGTACCCTGGCTAGCTCAGTCAGTAGAGCCTATGACTCTTGCTCTTGGGGTTGTGAGTTCGAGCCCCACTCTGGGTGTAGAGATTACTTTAAAAAAAGGTCAAATAATCCTTCTTATCATGGAGACCTGGCACAGTTCCTGCTTATCCCTGAGTAGTAGGCTTCAATGCCCTGCCAGACTATAGAATTATTAAAGCAAGACAATCACATTCTGCTGCAGATATCAAGGGGCGCACCTCAACCACGTGTTACTCGAAGCCTACATTCCACAGCAACTCCTTCTTCACTCTGCAGCCCCCCACCCCCACCCTTTGTGGCCCTGTGCAGTGTACTGTGTCCTTCTGCCTGGGCTGAGTGTGATTAATAAACCACCATCACTCTCATGTACCCAGTGTCATGTGCCAAGGGGAGGGAATCCTAGCCCTATGAACAAAGTGAAGAAGAGGTGATTAAAACAATACATTATAATAGAATCTTATTCATTTTATCCTAAAGTCACTGAAAGTTCATTGTTCTTAACTTTATTATGCCTATATATGAATTTTCTCCATATTTATTTTACATAGAATTTCATGATGCTATTTAAAATCTATTTTCTTCTTTTTATCTATTTATTATAGAAAATTTTGAACACACAAAAGTAGACAGAAAGCCTTTTTTGACAGATTGGTCAATACTATGCATATGGTTTTGGAAAGTTGCAACCCTCCTGCTCCCTTCATTTCCCAACACAGGACCATGGCTCCCTTCAGACAAGTGTCATCCCTGCCCAGATACAGCACAGGCCTCCCGTCCTCCTACCCAATACTTAAAGCCTGCTCTTCACTCAAGACCAGGTCACACTCCAAGCTGTGCTACAAACACTTCTTCAATAGCCCAAAGGCATCTCTTTCCTTTGCACTTATTTTTAATCAGCCTTATAAAATTAAACTCTCAATTACTGTCCTATCTTTGAAGATAAACTCTTTAAGGTACTTAAAGACAATGACTTTGGTTCTTTGTGCTGGTTTTCCCACAAAAGGCACACATTTATAGTGGCAAATCTGGTTTATAAGCCTTTACATAATTAAGGTTATTTGTTCACTCATGGAACTGCACTAGTGTGGTGGTAGGCAGATGGGGGGGAGGAAAACAAAGAATTTGCAAACCCTCAAGTTATAAAGCAGTCTTCACCACTAAACTAAGTAAATTAATTTTCTCATTTGTTTGAAAATAGGACATCAGTGTGAATGTCCTAAAAGGAATGAGTTTGTTTCACTATTCTCAGATCTGCTCCCACTCTGTAACTATCAAGGTCAATCACAGCTGGGAGAGCCTAAAACAGATTATCTTTTATTCTTAAGGATTAACTATGAAGTAGGGCCAAGTTTAAGGGCAGCTAAACAAGAAAACTTGCTAAGTTTCACTTCAACTATTTTCCTAAACCAGAGAGGACAAGCTCCAGGTGGTAACCTGCCCATCTTACCTCTCAGGGGTACACAATTGGAAGGACCCATCCCACACTCCTCCCCTCCAGGCTGTTGTTATTACTTATATGTGGTCATCTGTTCATTAAACATATACGGGGCAGCTCTAATGTGCCAAACTTTGGAGTTATAAAGATGATCACAAGTCCCTGCCCTCAAGGATTCCACAGCTGAGTGAACTAAAAATTCTGAAAATGACCCATTTTAATTTTAAACACACTTTTAAAGGCTCTTAGAATTTCTAGCTTATTCTGAATTTTAATTTAATTCTCACAGCTTAGTTTACTAATATTTATGAATATTTATGTTAACTTTCATTAAATACAAGTTACCTTGAAAATGAAATAAATACATCTTAAAATAAAATTCTGAAATTGGCCCATTTTCTTCTAAAACACAGAGAACACATAATTCAAGGAACAGAAAAAATTAGACTAGTATTCTAACATCTATAAGATAAACTGAAATTAAGATTAGCTTTGCAAAATGATTAACAGTAGGCTACACAACTACCAAAGTTAGATAATTTTAAAGAATATACCAACAAAAGTACATTTACAACTTTAAACTTGTCACAGCATTTTTGACATTTCATTTTCACAAAAACTTGAAAGATATGTGGTGAAGGCCCCATGATGAGAAAACAGGCACAAAGATGTTAAGCAACTTCTCCAGCAGCTGGTAGGTAGAAGGACAGGGCTAGAATCCAGGTCTCCTTATTCTCAGCCTTTTGCCTTTCCCACTGGCATCTCCATTTAGTCTCAGAGGTGGAACACAAGCAAGTGGCAGCTCCAACCAGGCTCTCAGGGTAGGTCATCTTCTTCTTCCCCAATCTGCTCCTCCTTGTATTCTGACCGTGGCTTCTCCATCCTCATTACCCAAACTGGATACAAGGGCCAAGAGTGCCAGATGGAGTCTACCTTTGTGAAATACAGCCTTGCACCTCCATGTCTCTCCCAATCCTAATCCAGCTTCAATACATGATGCTGTCACGTTGCTCTATAAAACACATTTGTGCCATCTCATTCTCCTGCTACCCACTGTTTAAAGCTCAAATTTGTAATCTTCTTAAGACCTTTCACTATTTGCTCCAAACCTAACTTTTAAATCTTATTTTCCAATACTCTATTTCACATACCCTGTGTTCCACCCGAAGTCAACACACTGCTGCCATTCTTATTTACTCCTTTTCCTCTTCCATATCTTTATTTACATTATCCCTTTCATCTTTAAGGAGTCAATTCAAAAGGCACCTCCAAAATGAAGCCCTGCTTGAATTCCATAAGCCAGAGTAATCAATCTTTCTGAATTCCCTGGCCTTTAACCTACACTTCTCTTTGGACACTTTTCTAGACTGTATTACAGTTATGTATACGACATATCCCCTTCACTGGGGACAAGTGCTTATCTCATTTATTCAACCAACAAACATCTACATGAATACATACTATGCTCTAGGAATGGGGATACAACAGTGAATAAAACAACCCAAATCACTGCCTTCATGGAGTTTACCTTGTGTTGGAGGTAGGACAAGACAATAAAAATAAGAATATTATATTGGAAGGTGGTAAATACTATGGTTAAGGGCACTGGGGAGTTGGGTTAGGGGACTTCTATTTTAACTAGGCTGGTTAAGAGGCCTAGTGGAGAAGGTAACATTGAGCAAAGGCTTGAAAGAGATGGGAAAAAGAAAAAAGCAGAGAAAAAAATGCAAAGGCAGAGAGGTATGAACTGGTATGCAGTCTTCTAGGAAAAGAAAGGCCACTGTGGCTGACACTGAACAAGGGTAGGTAGGATACCACTGCAGGGTATTTTTATATAAAAGAAATATCCTAAAAACAAGTGTAACTTTTTTATTATTTCTAATAGTAATAGCTACCACTTACTGCACACCTGTGAAACACTGTTCCAGGTAACTGATACACATTATTTCTAATACACCCAATGAGAAGAAGGTATCATTATCCCCACCTTACAACTAAAGAAACCAAACCTCCAAGGGGTTAAATCACATGCAGATGACCACAGAGAAAGTTACACAGCCTGAAATGGAACCTAAGTGTCCACTGGACTCTATTTCTATATGGGCTGCCCACACTGAATGAAAACTTTAGAGCTCTTAATCTTTACTTCTGCTTGGTTTCCACTGTTTTAATTTTTTCCAATCTCTTATTTAGTTAATTATTTTTAAAAACAGTACTTATAAATACTACAGGACCTAAATCTCCAACCCTAATTTAGCAATATTAGTTACAAATTAAAATTTTAACTTACATGTAAGTTTAATATGGTCTCTCTTATGAAAAAAAGTCTGGAAGCAGTTAGAGATGACTTATTCACTTTCATTTCCTTGTAAATACTCTTTATTCTCATTTAAAGTTTTAAACCCTGGCAGAGTAGCTCCGGCCTGGAAAGAAGAAAATACAGAAGTAGGCAAAAGGACTGCATAGTTACTAAATACTTTCCAAAAATTTGGTTACTAGCCTCCATACTCGTTTTACTTACCAACATGAAACCTACTCAACCAAGGACAACATACTGCTTCAACAGACAGCTTACTGCAATGAAACAAAGACCTCTATTTGCTCATATTTCCTTTTATTACTTTAAAAAAAAGTACTAACTAGGCATATGGTATATAACTTCTAGAAACAGAACTAAAACATAGTCCTGTATTAAACAAACTGAAAAACCTCGTGAAGAAACTAAAGAGACACAAATACAAAACTAAACGTATAGTTTTGTACAGTTGTAGGGAGAGGAAAACAGGATTAAGTGACTTTATAAAAGGAAATTAAAACAGTCATGTTCAAAACGTTACGGCCGACTCCTAAGGCTTGTTCAATTGTCAGGAAGTATCTCCGCAATAGTTGAAACGATCTTCTAAAACTCACAACAAAACGAAACTATTTGAATTAGCTTAATGAACACGCGCCCGACACAGACAAGCCAGGCTTCTATGGGATTTAATAGCAATCCAATTCTCGGTGGGATTCCTCGATGCAGAATACGAGGAAAAACCCTTCCATTTCTGAACACACGTATCCCCTGAAGGGCCCCTACCAACCCAAGAACCCAAGACCGGCAGAGTCGCCCACAATTAGCTCCTTCGCGCTTGCCTGAAAGAAAGAAAGAGAAAGAAAGAAAGGGTGGCGACCTCACCCCAATTGGAGGCCGGCCATGCGGCTTCCCCTCCACTAACTGGCCCTGGTCACCTCCGCTTACACGCCCACACAGGCCGCACGGGCCGCCGCCTCTTGAGCTCGCGCGGCCAGCGCCTTCGTCGCCGTACAGAAGGAGGTGAGAGCATCCAGGGCTGCAGCAGTGAGCGCCGCCTCCTCCATGGGGGAGCGCCGAGGAGAACCTACCCCGGACAACCTGCGACCCCCGCCACGGCCGGGACCAAGGACCGTCGCCAAAAGGCTGGGCGCGGCCAAGTGACGCAAGAGACGGCGCGCGCACGCGCGGTGCAGCGCAGCGCAGCGAACCGCCCCGGCGCGCGTTCCTGTGGACTTCCGGTTTCTTTAGCTGGCGCTGGAGAGCGGAGAGGGAAAGCAGGAGGGTGGAGGGCGGGACACGGAGAAGAACTGGAGGCGATATTTTACAAAGTAGGTTAGCCGACCAGGTGATCAAAATTAAAGTACCGTGTGCCGCTTTCTTAAAATGCTAATTCCCACGTGCGGTTAGCGTGTGAAGCTGCATTTAAGCAGTGTCGCTAGAGCTCCCCTAGGGAATAAGTGCTCCGAGAGTGCAAGCGGTGGGCTAGAGCTGGGCTTGGAAGCTGGGGATGGGTCGGGAACACGGAGGGGCGGGGCTCAGTGTAGAGCCCTTTCTTAACCGAAAGCCGGAAAGATGCGTTCTTTGGGCGAGTTAGTGGTTTGGTGAAAGCGCGTCTGGAGACACTTGGAACAGAGATGTATTTTTCATGAAATACGTGGGAAACCTACTGTTAGGCCATCCCGCCTTGGCTTCTCCAATGGAGAACTTCCCTAGGACCCACCATAATGGTTTTCTCTAAAGATTTGTTTATTTTAGAGACAGCGCCCGCGAATGCCCGGCGGGCAGAGGGGTAGGGAGAGGGAAAATCTCAAGCCTATTCCCACTAAACCGGGAGCCCGTCTTGGGGCTTAGCTTCAGGATCCTGAGATCATGACCTGAGCGGAAATCAAGAGTTGGAGGCTCAACCAACTGAGCCACCCAGACACCCCTGTTTCTGTCCATTTTAGAGAAAACCAGGGTGCCTGGGCGGCTCAGTCAGGCTTCAGACCCTTGATTTCTGCTCAAGTAATGATCTCAGGGTCCTGGGATCCTTTGCACTCAGCTGGGAGTCTGCTTGAGAATTCTCTCCCTCTCCCGTTCCTGCAGCTGACTTGCTCTCTCTAAAAATAAATGTCTTAAAAAAATAATAAAATGGACAAAGAGGGCTCATTTCTAGGAAGTGGGGGGAGGGGGAGGGGAGGATGTGTGGGGCGAGGAACAAGCCAGATCTGGAGTGAGGCCTGTTGTTAGTATCTTGGTTACAGGTGCCAAGGTCCTTTGGGTATGTTGTTCCAGTTTCTGAATAGATACAAAAACACTAGTATTGGAAATGTAAATCATGTTGGGTGGGAATATTTTTTAGGTGAATGCTTGTTGAACCAGAAAATACCAAATATAATTTGCTTTTTTCAGACTAATTGGATTAGTTACCAACCTCTGGTTTCATTTTAGGTGACTATGCAGCTACTTATTTATTTATTTATTGCAGCTACTAATTTAAAAGCTTTTAATCTTCTGTGGGCTTGGTAACTAGCCAACCTTGCATTTAGAACTGGCTCAGAGGACTTTTTTAGCTTAATTCTTTGGTCTCAGCCAAATTCTAGATTACATACTCAAATAAGGAATTACATTAAATATTGAAAGATGGTTGGCATGTTGGTCTCTGATGATATGGTAGATTGATGAAAAATGGCTCCAATTCTCTACCCATCCATGTGCCCACATATTTTGCAGAGTGACTTTGCAGCTCCACTCCATCCCAATTCTGCCTTGGCCTTGGGACTGTTTTTGGCCAAGAAAATGCGGTGGTTCCCAGACTAAATTATGCTAAGAAACCTGGACTAGTTTGCTGGAGGAGACCACATGGAACAGACCACTTGGAAAGCTACCCAGATGAACCATACTATGTCCAGACACCAGAGATTGAGCCAACAACAGACCGATTTGATTGGTTGAGGTCCACAAATGTGCACTGTTGATCCACAAACATATGAAAAAGACTAAATGGTTGTTGTTCTAAGTCACCAGTTTTGATAGAGATGGTATGTAGCAATAACTAACAAATGCCATCAGATACCTGTAGGAGGCAGATGATTATAATGAAAGTAGTGGTTAGTTTGTATGAACAAGAATGCTGGGGTGCCTGGGTGCCTCAGTCATTAAGCGTTTGCTTTTGATTCAGGTCATGATCCCAGGGTCCTCGGATCGAGCCCCGCACTGGGCTCCCTGCTCCACAGAAAGCCTGCTTCTCCCTCTCCTACTCCCCCTGCTTGTGTTCCCTCTCTCGCTGTATCTCTCTCTGTCAAAAAAATAAATAAAATCTTAAAAAAAAAAAAGAATGCTTAGAAATGGGGTGCCTGGGTGGCTCAGTGAGCTAACATCTGCCTGTGGCTCAGGTCATGATCTCAGGGTTCTGGGATCGAGCCCCATGTCAGGCTCTCTGCTCAGCAGGAAGCCTGCTTCTCCCTCTCCCTCTGCCTGCCTCTCTCTCTCAAATAGATAGAAGCTTAAAAAAAAAATGCTTAGAAATTATGTTAACCTAAGGAATTTACTTGCAGGTCTTTTCTGCCAGTATTCTAATCATCCCAGCAAAGCCCTGCCTCATCTAATCAGCTTTCTCTCTTTGTTGTAGCTCACAGACTCCTCTCATTTATTTGGACTTCCACCTGACACTTAAAAGCCACATTACACAGTGCATTGTTTTTATAGGTGTATATAATATACCTGCTAACATTATGCAGGCTCCTTAAATGTCCAGACCACTTCTCCAGCACATGATGTTGCACAACTTATATAATGTGAGTGTTAAAGATTGATCATAGATATTTTTAATCATAGATCATAGATATTTTTAAATTTTTAAAAATCCATTATCCTTTTCATATACTGCTGGTGGGATCATAAAACAGTGCAACTTCCTTGGAAAACAGTTTGGCAGTTCCTTAAAAAGTTAAACATATATCAACCATATGACCCAGCTTTTCTACTCCTAGATATTTACCCAAGAGAAATGGAAAGCATATATCCCTTAAAAGACTTGTAAATGAACATTCAATAGCAGCTTTATTTGTAATGTCCAAAAAAATGGAAACAACTCAAATGTCCAATAACAAAGCAACTGTGGATAAAAGCAACTGTGGTATATCCATATAATAGAATACCACTGAAAAATAAAAGGGAATGAACTATTGATACATGCTATAACATGGCTAATTCTCAAAATAATTTTGGTAAGTGAAAGAAGCCAGACCAAAAGTATATAATAAATAATTATGTTTATATAAAATTCTAGGAAATGGAAGGTAATATATAGCAGCAGAAAGTTAACGGTTGGCTGGGAGTAGAGGGGACAATAAGGGCAGAGGGATTACAATGGGGCAAAAAGAAACTTTGAGGTGATGGATATGTTCACTGTTTTACTCATGGTGATGCTTTCATCCTATAACATCATACGACATACATCAAAACCTACCAAATGTGTATTTTATATATGTGCAGTTTAGAGTATGTTGATTATATGTCAATAAAGCTGTGAAAATCTTTGTTATAGAAGTATAAGCAAGACTTCTTTAATAAACAGTATTTTTAAAAATCATGTATTAGTAAATCAAATAGTTTCTCATGTATTTAGTTGCTCGTCTATGTTTTGGTTTTGTTACCACAGAGGCCAGCCAGAAGCATGAGAACAGCAAAACAGATGATTATTTTTTCTTTAGCTCAAGTCCGTATCACTAAATATGCTTTTTGTCCTTCCAAAGTGAATAGTGGCATTCTCTCACATTTATTTATTTTTTTAAAGTTTTTATTCAAATTCCAGTTAGTTAACATACAGTGTAATATTAGTTTCAGGTGTACAATATAGTACAATATTGTATAGAAGTACAATACTTCTATACATCACTGTGTGCTGATCACACCATGGGCCCTCCTTAATCCCTATCGCCTATTTAACCCATTCCCGCCCCCCCCCACTTCCCCTCTGGTATCTCTAGCATTTTAAAAGGTTAGTATTATATAAATATTTTCCAATTAATATTATTAAGTTTACTCAAGACCATAGATGACTTACAAATGTAGTAGGGCATTTTCCAAAACATTTGTCAGAAGGAGAGAGGAGATTTCTCTGAAAAAGACAGTAATAACTTGAAGCAAATTTAGGTAGAACACCAGGATGTTCATTAAAAGCCAGGAGATGGCTTTTAATAATTGCCTCATTTGATAAGATGGTGAGTGGATATGGTAGGCAGAATAATGCCCCACCCCCAAAGATGTCCACAGTCCTAACCTTCAGAACATGTGACTATGTTACCTTACAGGCAAAAGGAACTCTGCAGGTGTCATTAAATTAAGGGTCTCGAGATGGGGAGATAGTCCTTGATGTCTAAGTGGGTCCAAAATAATCACAAGGGTCTTTGTAAGAAGAAGGCAGAAGTGTCAGAGTCAGAGAATGAGATAGGACAACGGAAGAAGGGTCAGAGAGATGCAACATTGCTGGCTTTGAAGATGGAGAAAGGAGAATGAACCAAAGAATGTGCAAGGCCTCTACTGAAAAAGAGAACAGATTCTCACCTAGAGCCTCCAGGAGGAATATAATCCTGCCCACACCTTGATTTTAACCCAGTTAAATTTGTGTTGGATTTCTGACCTCTGGAACTGTAAGATAATAAATTTGTGTTGTTTTAAGCCAAAAAGTTGGTGGTAATTTGTTAGAGCAGCAATAGAAAACCAACACAGTGAATAAGCACACCAAATTAGAGTAAGGAGGACACTGACATCCCCCAAACATCATCATTAAAAATAAAAGGAATCCATTTTATAGACAGGCAACCATAGTTTGAATTTTCCTCCATCTTCTGTTCCTTTATCTGTTATTTTATATGGATTTGTTGTGTTACTTCATTGGCATCCCTCCTATCCTGCTTGCCATGGTGCAATTCCAATACCAACTTTCAAATTTCCTCAGCAGGAATTAGTCCTTTCCTTCTCTTCTGAACTGCTAATACAGATAGAAGAATCTTTTTGTTTCTTGACTGTGCCTCAGCTCTCCAACACAAAAAACCTTTATGAAACTACCACGTGAGGTTGGAAATATGGTGTACCAGTGTGATTACCCTTACAACAAAGATGCCAAAAATGTCATGCCTCGGGGTCATCAGACAGGGACATGACTTAGCAAC